GCAACGAAACTCTAGAGGCGGACTCAATGAGACATGTCAATAATATTCAAAAGATTCTTAAGGGAACTGATAAGATTACTGATAAAAGGGACATGTTCAGTGTAAGGAAGAGTAGAGGAGTACTGTAGTAAATTGATGGAAACCTTCTTGAGGTTATCTTGAGATGATTTCGGGGCTTTAGTGTCCCCGCGGCCCGGTTCTCGACCAGGCCTCCACCCCCAGGAAGCAGCTCGTGACAGCTGACTAACTCCCAGGTACCTATTTACTGCTAGGTAACAAGGCCATCAGGGGTGAAAGAAACTCTGCCCATTGTTTCTCGCCGGCGCCCGGGATCGAACCCGGGACCACAGGATCACACGTCCAGTGTTCTATCCGCTTAGCCGCCGACTCCCTTGGGCACAGTTGGGCACCTTGGGCACAGCTGAGTCACAGATGTTAGAAAGACCTTATTAAACATAGCCTAATGATAGCGAGCAACTGAAATGGACTAGAGGGAGAAATAGTTAACACAAAAAATAGTTTCAAAAGTAGATATGACAAGAACACGATGATCAGGATCACAACATTAGACAACTGACAGCAGAATATTTGGGGTTCAGAAACAATTTGGCATCAACCCTTCCATCACACTTTGGGAGTGTACATACAAAAATGGCCGCCACCATGTTTAACAATAAAGCTACAACATTACTAAATAAGTCAACAATATCCGTTGATAGTATAGAAATACTTATAACATTTTGAAATCGTGAGAAAACCTATAGACTATACGCCTATGGGTAACTGTAATACCATACTCTGGTGCATTTGAAGCGATTTGCCGCACTTCAGGCTAAAATTATATTATTAATGCTTTGTGATTTCTTGACACATATCTCCTACACTCCTCCAATACACCCCCCCCTAACCCCAGTACACTCCATCCACACTTCCTCCCCCACCTCCAGCACTCCTTCAATTACCCCAGTCACCCCATACACCCCCCCTCTGAACCACCCCCTATCAACTAAACCTCCACCAGCCCCCACTACCACTCCCCACATACACACTTCTCCGACGTGCCCACTACCCCTCTCCTTCAAAGACACTTCCTGGTATGACTCACGAAGCATCAGACTGTTGCTATTCGCAGCCTGCATCTCTCTTTGTCCGCGTCCAAAACTCAGTTTTTTGGCGGGTTCGATGTGAGTCAGGTGCGCGTGTGTGTGCGCGCCCGAGCGCATGCGCGTGTGCTTGCACATGAACACATGCAAATGTGCTTGCAGAGTGAGATTCAGCTCCTGGGCCCCTCCTTTCAGTTACCGGCTCACCGCTGTCACGGGTTTCGACCAAACAAAATCCATTTTGTTTGGATTTCTTATTTTTTTCGATGCCTTTTTAGAATTTATGTTGTAAATATGCCCTTGTAGCTCACCCCTTTGAAGTTTAGGAACCAGTTTCGTACTGAAACTCTCGACTTTCTCTACTTTTACAGTGTGCTTTCTCAGATGTGGACTCCACACCCGAACTACACATTCTAGAACGGCACTACCACACGATGAACAACCCGGCCGCGTTTCTTGTTGAGGTGTTATACATTACTGCTTTGGTATTATTAACATCTTTATTGACAAAATTTAATTACAATTTTGCCTAATCTGAGGATTTCGATGAAAGTGAGAATAATGCTGGTATTCACTGTCACACAGGACAGAGGGTCATACACAAGACAATGGGTCTAAACCCATTGTAGCACATATATATCATGGTTACAATCAGTAGTGGTATGTCCACTTGCAGGATGAGTGACGCTGCTCAATACTTCCAGTGATGGGTATGTGGGCCTGCGGGCCGCTCCAAGCAACAGCCTGGTGGGCCAAACTCTCACAAATCAAGCCTGGCCTAGGGCCGGGCTTGGGGAGTAAAACTCACAGAACCCCTTCAAGTAGGTGGTTTCTGGGAGTTCTGGCAGGTATGGTGGTATGTCTACTCACAGGATGAGTGAAGGTGCCCAATACTGCCACTATGGTGGTATGTTCACTCACAGTTTGAGTGACGCTGCCCAATACTGTCACTATGGCGGTGTGTCCACTCACAGGATGAGTGGCGCTGCCCAATACTGTCACTATGACAGTGCGTCCACTCACAGGATGAGTGACGCTGCCCAATACTGTCACTATGGCGGTGTGTCCACTCACAGGATGAGTGGCGCTGCCCAATACTGTCACTATGACAGTGTGTCCACTCACAGGATGAGTGACGCTGCCCAATAACTTGTCCCTCGGAGCAAAAATAATTACAAAAATTACCTTAGGATAGTATTATACTTAAAGCTTCCTTGTAGAGGTTCCTGAAGGATTGGGATGTTTGCGTGTGTGTGTGTGTTCAGTCACCTGTCTGTGCTTGTGAAGGGTGGAGCTTAAGTTCACGGGTCCCGCCTATTAACTTGCAATTGATTATACTTATACCCAAATTCTGTCGTCGGTCTATATATATTTTTGAATGAGTTTATGGAGTCTGTCTCCACTAGTTTACTCTCTACTTCCTTACTTCTTCATTACCTAAAGATTAAGAAACTCTTTTTTATATTCCTACGGCTTTTTGAAGTATTTAGTTTACATATGTAACACTATGAAATACTAATGTTACCTGGGTCTACCTTAGTTTGGTGAGATCTTGGTTGTGTGGTACTGGGCCTGCCAAACCTATTGGGGATTATTATTCTGCCATCACATTAGCTTGCCGACCCATCATTAAGTATACTTTAGTCCTGAACATAAACCAAGGCTACAGTAAACTCTTGAGTATATGCACCAAGAAACAGGGTGAAACAGGCTGCCGTTAGGTTTATATATACTCCTGTGAGAGCTCAGATCGTGGTGTACAGTTTTGATCAGTGTATTGCAGACTCTCGACACATTCTGTACAACACACAGCTGGAAGACATTCCCCACATCACTATCTGTCTATAACACGACAGATTAAGATCACTGGTTACACTCTTTTGAGAGACAAGTATGAGGGGTCATGCCAGAGGACAGTATGAGAGGAGAATGAGACAAGTATGAAGGAATATTAAGATTTATATAAGTCAGGTGAAGACAATGCTACTGTGTTGTTGAAGAGTTTACCCTGGAATGGTTTAAGTACAGATTGGCCAAGCACATCTGTAAGAATTAACGCTAATAGGACCAGCCTCGTTTAGGTCATAGGCCTACTGACGTTTTCGTACGTACTAATCCTGTTTATACTGTTAATTTTTCCCCTTTAGAATTTTGAGGTCGTGATCATGTATCCACAGCTGCTTCTCTTCTCCAACGACGTGGAATACAGTCAGCTCTTTTATTACGTCAACTGACCTAAAATTATTTGCAAGGCTGAGTTTTAGCTCCTGGGCTGGGCCTTTCTAGCTCCCCCTTTGCCTTATTATACAATTCTGAATTTATGAATGAAGTCAGACTCAACTATCTAATACACTTCAATTGATCACAACCTTCACACTCAAGTGCTATGGATAGAGTATGTGTATACCGTAGGTGGGCTGGCGTTAGCTCTTGAGACCCGACTTTCCCGCTGTCGATTGCATACCGCAATAATTCCCAACTCTCCTGTTCCTTACGACACTTGTGCCTGTTGCTGCTGTTGTTGTTATAGATTCAGCTACTCAGAACGAAGTGTCCATGTAGCACGGGCTATGGTAAGCCCATAATCGCCTGTTGCTTTTACGGCTGTGTATTTAATGACTTTCTTCCACCTCTCTGTTCCACAGGACCTGTTCACTGTCCTCACCCCCAAGTCCTTCCTAACACCGTGAGTCGGGGAGCCCGCGCCAGGGCCATCCTGGGGATTCGTTTACATTTCTGTGAATACATAAACCTGCAGTGTAAACACTTCAGGTGTGTGTATGTGTGTTGTATGTGGCCACATATCTGAGTGTTGTGTATGAGGCCACGTATCTGAATGTTGTGTATATGTGGCCACATATCTGAATGTTGTGTATGAGGCCACGTATCTGAATGTTGTGTATATGTGGCCACATATCTGAATGTTGTGTACACGTGGCTACGTATCTGAATGTTGTATGTATGTGGACATGTATCTTAATGTTGTGTATATGTATAGTATGTGTACAGAATGTTGTGTGCATTCACATATCTGAATGTACACAACATTGTACAGTATATATGTAGCCACATATCTGAATGCTATGTACAGTTGGCTACATATCTGAATGTTGCGTATATGTGGTCATGTGGTTGAATGTTGCATACATGTGGCCATGTATAAGATTGGTGAGAATATGGCCATGTATCTGAATGTTGTTTATGTGGCCATGCACCTGAATGTTATTCTGTGATGTGTACAACATAAAGCAGACAGATACAAATGAATGTCAATGTAAACAAACACACGTGACTAGGCCTAGTGAGCTACACACGTGACTAGGCCTAGTGAGCTACACACGTGACTAGGCCTAGTGAGCTACACACGTGACTAGGCCTAGTGAGCTACACACGTGACTAGGCCTAGTGAGCTACACACACGTGTCAGGGTATAGGCCTCTCCCGAATGTCAGCCACATTACACTCACCTTAATATGCCACAAATATATTTTTTGGGTGATATATCAGGTATAGTGATAGCAGCGGGTCGCCGATGACCTGCCGTTCTAAGACTAGGATAGAATGTCTACCATTTAGATATCACAGTTGTTTTCTGCGTTTCAGCTTGTAAACAAACACTTCAACTTTTTCCATTCATTCAAAACTGAACCAAAGGTGTAGGTGGGTAAATCATCAATGAGTACGACCATTCATCACTGACACTCGTCTGTATACCGGTAACACGTTCAATATCCACATTGTTTCGTTGTATAGCTCTTCATCTGTCATGTATTATACAATTTATTGATGATATATGTATATATATAGACCCAGTCCCACCTGTAATGACCATAGAAAAGTGTAAACGCTTTAGCATGAGTTTTGGGACATATATAGAGGGAAGAGTTGTATACGTACCTCAAGAAATAGCTCTATCAGGGGAGAGTATAGCCTTTCCCTCTCTCTCTATACAAAGTATATCCTGTTACTTGACACCGGTGTATATGTCCTGACTGGTCATCTACGGCCCGCTCCAGACACCCACCTCGCCCTACCATCGCACTCCACTCTTGGCCACTGAAATCCACCCCTATCAACCTCAATATATATACGGGGTTATTTTTAGGTATGATGTCATGCGGGTGCGCGGTGGTTGGCTGCGCCTCTCCTGCACTACGTAATGTGAGGGACGCTGATTGGTCGCCGCCGCATCAACAGAAAAAACGTGAGGCGCGGGACAGCGCGCGCACCCCCAACTCCCCATTATGAGCGAGATTTTTCAATGCGTACGGCGTTAATTGTCTCGCTGGGGTGCGTTATTGAGTTCTAGGGGGGAGGTTGCGGGTTAGTATGTGCGTGGCTCTGAGGGTGAGATTGTAATGGGGATGCGATGGGGGTTTAGATAAAAGGGGTTGGGGCTGGCCGATAAGGCGAGTGTTACTACTACTTGGCGGCGGCGGCAGCGGGCTTGCCCATTTGGCCCCAGGCGGCCACACTCCCCTGCCAGGCACCCCTGCTATATAGCCCCCTCCTACACCCCTTAGCCTGCATACTACTCTCAACACCTCTTCATGCCCGACAGTACTCTCTTTGCTACACTTGGTCAGGTGTCATTACTGGTAGTGGTGCTCTTTTACCCCAGGTGAGGGAGCGACTGTCTGCGGTACAACAATTTAGAATGTCAGACAGCCTGGCTCCCATCTACCAGCCTAAGCCATCATAACTCAGTCTTAGGTAACAGTGAATCTTATTTGTGAGAAAAAGCTGACTGTTGCCGACGACATTTACTCCCACCACAAACAAAATGGACAAATTAACCGTGCGAGGAGCACAAAGTTATTCGGCCTCACAAAAATTTTGAATCTTAGCGCCAAACTGAACAATGAATGATCCCCCCCTCCCCCTCCCCCCCCCAGGTGTTGTTTTAAGTATATGCGGCTCAAACTCGTGCTAGGCTAATTGAACTTTTTAGTTTCCTGAACCAATTATATGACTAACTCTTCCGCCACCGCCCGCAAGATGGGTATATGGAATCCATATATTGAACTAAGCTAAAAACTAAGTCTTGTTCTTGCAGGAGGCTATAGGGTCATGCAGTGCACGGGTTGTCAATGGGAAGCTGGCCCTTATTCTAGTGTACCTCACATGCTTGCGGCCACTTGTATGGTGAGGCATGTTATGGTGTGTGGTGGGCGTGGGTTGGTGTAGTGTACCTCACATGCTTGCGGCCACTTGTATGGTGAGGCATGTTATGGTGTGTGGTGGGCGTGGGTTGGTGGTTGTGGTGGGCGTGGGATAGTGGTAGGGGACAATGGTGGGGGGTAGGCTGGTAAGGGGTTTAGGTGGGAGTGGGTTGGTTGGGTTGGGATGTGTTGTTTTATACAAAAAATGGGGAATGGGTTGATAGGAGGTGTGGTATTTGGTGGGAGGGAGAGGTTGTACTCACCTAATTGTTTCTGCAGGGAGTTGCAGAGCTCTTTGGTCCCGCCCCCTCAACAGTAAATCACGGTACTTCCCTATCAATGACTACGAAGGAAGTGAAGTCTAGCTTTTTATGCTCCGCCTGCTAGCCGTCTTGCACCCGGTGTGTTAAAGCTTCACTATTCTAACAATCACCACAGCTGTCGAACCATTCCTTAAAGTTGTGGATGGAGGTGGCTTCCACAACTTCTCTTGGTACATTTCACTTGGGCTCGGTGAGAGGGGGCGTGGCAATGGTCTGAGTGGTAATGGGTGGATGGGTGAGGGTGTGGTAGTGGGTGGATGGGTGAGGGTGTGGTAGTGGGTGGATGGGTGAGTGGTAGCCGGGGGGGGTAGGTGGGAGAGAGGCGGTGTGGTAGTAGTGGTGGGTGGGAGGGATTTGGTAGAGGGGATAATAATAATAATAATATTAATAATAATGTTTATTCAGGTAAAAAGTACAAACATTCAAAATGAGTTACAAATATAATGTGTGGATTTCGGGCAACAAACGGGATCGTTTCGCGATAGGAGAGTGGGGGGGTGTGGTAGTGGTGGGTGGGAGGTGTGATAGGTAGGAGGGGGTTGGTAGTGGTTGTGTGGTAGTGAGGATAGGAGGGTGGGGGTGTGGTAACGGTGGTGATGGGGGGGGTGTGGTAGTGTGGTGGGAGGGAGATAGGAGGTGTAGTAGTGTGGTGGGAGGGAGATAGGAGGTGTAGTAGTGGTGTGGGTGGGAGGGAGGTGGTGTGGTAGTGGGTGGGAGGGAGGTGGTGTGGTAGTGGGTGGGAGGGAGGTGGTGTGGTAGTGGGTGGGAGGGAGGTGTGGTAGTGGGGGTGGCTGAGGAAGGGAGTTTGTTGACAACTCAGTAATTATATTCTCCCCAACCCCCATGATGACGGGGGAGGATGGTGTTACAACGGCACATATAATGGTCTCCGGAACTGATCCATCAAACCTAAATTAGCTAAACAATTCAGGTTAGCAACGCTAAACTATAGAAACAGATGTATGAGGGGGGGGCTGGAGGTGTGTGGCACCCACGCCCGCCGCCCACGCAAAGCCCACCCTCCCCACCAACCTTGCCCACACGCCCCCATTCTCCCCCATCCTCCACGCCAGCCCAAACACCGACAACACAAGCACAACTCCTACATTTCACATATATACCCTTTATTTTAAAACCCTTATATACAGGGACGCTAACCAAGGGAGAGGATGAGAGCATTTTTGCACACCGCCGAAGCCTCGCCCCGAATGGTTGCCCGTACAGGGAGGACCCGGCGCTCATGGGCCCCATGAAGCTTAGTTGTCTACCACCCATGTCTGCCCCACCACATACATACCCACAGCCTCACTGTACATATACCCTCGGGCAAAATATTAACTCTTTGCACACAGACATATTACAAGGACTTGTAAGAGGTCAGGTAAGTCAGTAGTGCCACAAGTCTCCTCCGCTACCTCCACTACACCTTCTGCCACCACAACCACCCCCTTGACACACCCTAGCCACACCTACTTTCCCCCCCTTTACCCCCCACTATCTCCCCCCCAGACATTCTCTCAGATCCCCACTGCAACTGTGTACTGTCCCAAGACCGTAGATTGCATCTCTTTACTATGATTACACCGTTTCTGTAATCTGTTGGTTCGTGCTACTGTTGTCAATGTCGTATGTTTACTGTTATCACCGTCGCAGGAATACTGTTGTCGTTGCAGTCAGTGTCACGTACGACACTGCCAACAGTACTCCCATGACGGCGCTGCTGACACCATCACAGGAGCACTGTTGTCATCGCAGGAGTACTATGGTGACAATGTCTGCTGTTATCATCATACATGTCTATTGTAACAATTCATGTCTGCTGTTGTCGCCTGTTATAGAGAGTTGTGAGGGTACTAATCAATCAGGGAAGAGGCGTCAAGTTTTCGTGGATCCCCTCCATGTTGGAATATGTGGAAATGAACGAGCAGATGTGCTGACTGCTGAAGGCGCTGAAGGAGACCATATTGAATACTTCATACCAAAGACTCTTCTACGAATTAGAGGCATCATCAGGAAATATCACCGTGACAAGGTTACTGAGGAAAGGAGGATAGAAGCACAAATCAGCGAATCTGTACGATGGTACAACATGGTTGCAGCTGGCAATCCCAATCATTATGAACGAAGAGGAGGTGGTCGCGGGAGAGAATCAGTAATAGTGAGAATCTGCCTTGGATACAAATATCCATGGAGATTCGGAATGGAAACTACAAGTTGAGCAGCGGAGTTGCAGAATCTGTGATGAGAGTGACGGACACCGCCTTGACCACTATCTACGTGAATGTGAACACGTGAGAGACATTAGAAATGTGTAGAATAATAAATCTCACATTGTTTGAGTTAGGAAAACACTGTCAAATATTGATACTGTTCTTAAAAGATTTCCCCATTTTGCACCCGCAAGATAACATAAGATTTTAAGGGATGACTGATGTTAATCTTGTTTGAGGAGCTGTTCACTTGAGACAGTTAAGCAAATCCCAGCTGTGTCTGGGTACAAGTGACAGGATGAACAACCCAGCGGGTTTTCTTCCTATTGGGGGAGTGTTGTACATGCTGCTATGGCGGTGTGTCCATTCACAGGATGAGTGGCGCTGCCCAATAAACTCGCCCCTCGGGGCAAAATTTAAATTTAAAAATTTATGAACTAAGCTATTCATGTTGATTTAAAATAGCCTGCGTTCATTTACATATATCAATTTGCATGCCAGACAACTACAGAGTATTTATGGAGGCACATTTAGCATCTTGAGCACGCAAATTTAGGTTAGGAATAATTAAGTAAAAGTCATTGTATGCAAATTGACGAGTAGGTTTATTATGTTGAATTTGTATGTGGAGAGCGAATGTTTTTATTTTATTTATATTTACGCTGATTTGCATACTGAAATGTCAGTACATAATTTGAAATAACGTACGCATATTATTTGGAGGCCTCGGTAAATTTAGTTATGAGTAAAAGAAACAAATATAATCTATTTTCAAATGTTTTAACGTGCCTATATTTTGCAAGGAGTGAGTTCTATTATTGACAGGCACATGAAATTAACATAATTTAAGAAAGAGTTTAAGAAATTGTGTATGAAGGTCACGCTTATCTTGACACGATGAACAATCGTGTCAAGATAAGCGTGTCAAGATTAGACCAATAACTATCAATCGTGTCAAGATTAGACCAATAACTATTGAGCAGACACCAGCTGTTGGTGCTACTCTCTAACATTTCCGGTTAAATTTAAAGGGACAAGATTTGTATTCTTACTTTGCCTTAACACTCAAGCATTATATGAAAGAATTTGATATAATAATATTCCTTAGGGTTCCAGGTGATCAATTGTCACTCAGTAATGGTAATGTTTAGAGCTAGGCCTAAGGAATACTTTGTTCGCCCCTGACATTTTTTGTAAATATGGCGGGAAGCTGAGTGAGAGGGAGGAGGGGGGTGAGTCGGTCTTGCCTGACTAGATTTAAAACGCCAGTTGAACTGTGGATCTATGCCAGGTAAGTCCACTACGGGCTCACCATAGCCCGTGCTACTTGAAACTTGTTCAGAGTAGCTGAATCTATAACAATTAAGAACATG